TGGTATAAGCCTGCTAAGGATGAAGACGCTGAGGTGTCTTATGTCAATGATATGCAGAAAGAAGATCTTTGGACTGAGCTGAAGGCAAATTTCACCCTACCGCCAGAGGAGGATCCGGAGAAGACAGTTAAAGAGCAATTAATCAAGTCTTGTGCTCTTAAGAAGATGGCAGGCCTAATGAGGAGGTGGAGGAAAGAGCTGAACCAGTTTGTCAAGGAAAAAAAGACACCAGAATTCATCGGCAAATATGAGAAGATCAAAGATCACTGGCCCGCATTTGTGGCCCACAAGACATCGGAAAAGAGTAAGAAGATGTCGAAGACAAACAAGAAAAATGCTGCGAAGAAGAAGCTTCACCATCGCACGGGGTCAGGTGGCTACCTCAAAGCCCGGCCTAAGTGGTCCAAGGCTGAGCATGATCTGCTTGAAAAAGGGATCGAACCAGAGACAATGCACTGGCCAGACCGTTGCCGGACTTGGTTCTTCGGGGCTGGCGGGACCTTGGACCCTGTAACAGGGAAGTGTCAGTGGATGGACGAGCAACTGCAAATACCAGTCAAGAACCTTCGACACTATATCGATGCAGCGCAGCGAGGGACGTTCCTTCCAAACAGGGAGAAGGACGAGCTCACGATGGCCCTTGGGAATCCCGAGCACCCTGGACGGACACGAGGCACGCCAGGCTCCATTCCGTGGAAGGTTGGTTTTCCGGACGCAGGGGGTTACAAAACCCACGAGAGGAGGAAGAAACTGGAGCAGGACCAAATGCAGGCGCTGCTTGGAAGGGTAATGGGGCTAGAGGATCGAGAAGAGGAACGAGAAGCAGCAGATCGCAACAAACGACATGCCGAAGCTTCCCCCGAAGCTACCCCGCCATCTCAGCGGAGAAGCAGCGTGGCTTCCACTGAGCTGCTTCAGCCGGAGCATGTCTTGACGGCTCCTGCCAGCTATCCCGTGGATGGTATCACGGAGTCTCAAAATTGCCACATGATGGCGCGATGGATGAATTTGAAGGTCAAGGCGGCTGTTGGCCAAGTTTATCCTAGTGGAACCGGCACAACTTATCACTGCCAGCCGGTTCCAAAAGGATATGCTAAGGTGATGGTGGATGAAATAACGGAGGGATTTGAGGACCTCGTGCTTGACCACCCTACCGGTGAAGGGGAGACTAGGCTGGGTTCTACTCTGAAGACTCCATGCCTATGGAAGAAGGAGCTCATCAACCTTCTGAACTGGACGCCTCCGCCTCCTCCTCCAGCTCCGGCGAGTCAGGGCACTCCGCCTCCTCCACCGGCTCCTCCTCCGGCGAGTGACGATCAGGGCACGCGTGGCGGCACTCCGCCTCCTTCTCCGGCGCATGGCGGCACTCCGCCTCCTTCTCCGCCTGCGCCGGCGCTCCCGAGCAGCCAACAGCATCCTCCTTCTCCGCCTCTCCAGCAAGGGCGGAAGAGACCCGCCACCGCCCCGGCTGCTCCGGCGCGTCGTACTCCTTCTCCTCCGCCTCGTAAGCAAGCACGAAAGAAGACAGACGCCGCAGCCGCTCCGTCTGCTCCGGCGTCTAGCAGCGCAACCAGAGGCGGGAGGCAATACAAATACGGTCCATCATCTCTCAAGCCTCTAGAGAAGTTACCGTACAAGAGGTTCGAGGAGGAAAACGATATGATTGTGCAGGCCCACGTGAAGGAGTTCTTTGAAGGGGTGAAAGCAAAGAGACATCCACCTCCGGAGGAGAAGGTAGATCCGGTGAAAGCAAAGCGCACTATCGATGCCCTAAGGAAACCACCAAAGTCTCCGCCGAGAACCAACTATGAGCGCATTACTGAACAGACATATCTCCAAGCCCAGCGGTCGGGAACTACTGTCGGTGCTAAAAGGTCAAAACAACGAGCAAAGGGGAAAAATTGCCCAGCTCGGCGAACAAGCACAGCAATCGTGCCCCCCGCTCAATGTGTCTAATGCTCCGGCGACGGTGGCCGGTTATGGCAATCTTGACGATTACCTGCCTGACGATGCACTTCCTGATTTTTTGAAGGTGGACGGACACAGATACGAGTACGGGAAGCCTCTCGCCAAAGATGAAAAATCTCTGACAATAATGATGCGAAGATTCCATAATTGGTACATGGAAACCTGCAGAGAGTCTGATGGTAAGAATGCTTTGTATCTGCATATTAAAGAGGAGCACGATCTCGTTGCAAATGATCTGTTGACTGTTCCATTTGAGGAGTTCTTCGAGTTCTTCAATCAAAAGGCCCTCGATAAATTAATGGTCTTTTGCTACTGCCTGTAAGTACTATTTCTTTCATTAAGTCTCTATATATAGCTCGGCTCTTTCATTGCATGCATGTATTTATAATTAATTATCCTCAATATATTATGCAGATTGAAGATCGTCGAGTGCAAAAAACAAGAAATTTATGATATTGGGTTCATTAACACAAATATCATAGATGTATTTATGGTTAAAAAGAACGTCAAAGAGGCCGAGGACAACTTGCTACGATCATTGATAAAAAATCAAAACAAAGATACCATACTCTTTCCTTACAACGGCCCGTGAGTATTACTGTCGTGTGCATATTCGGTTTCCCTTATTACTCAAGCAAGGTTATAGTAATGTAATTGATGAGTTATGCATGCGTGCGCAGGTACCACTATATTCTTCTGGAGATTAAGCTTGAGCGTGGACTAGTAACCGTCTTAGACTCGAGACGGAAAGATCCCAAAACCTATGCGGACATGACTGAAATGCTCAGCAAGTAAGTTCAATCGATCATAATTATCGCACCATATCGGTAACTTTTTGTTCATTTCCTGATATCTCAAGTAATAATAATTATTTTCTTTGTCTTGCAGGGTTTGGAAACAGTTAACCGCAGAAGCTCCGGGACTGCCGAAGAAGCTGCGATATACATACCCGAAAGTAAGTACTACTGGCTAGCTAGTTGCGCGCATCTCCGGCCCGTTGATTCTATATATAGCTATATATACTTTCATCAATGCCATTTATAATGCTTCATTATCAGTTTGATTGACCTCTATTTCTCGTAAAGTGCTTGTGGCAGGAGGAAGGGAATGATTTCTGTGGATACTACGTGTGCGAGTTCATCCACACCGCGACTTTGAAAAACAAGCGGGGCTACTCTCAAAGACAATATGAAGTGCGTAAGCAATAATATTCATAATTTCATTTTATTACACCATCATTTCTGTTGAGTTTTATTCATATACATGTATTAATTAACCCCCTTCTTCAAATTAGACGTGGCAGATGCGGAATGAACTCCTGGAACCAGATCGCATGAAAGCAATTCAAGAGGAATTGGCGGGATTCTTTCTTGACCACGTCATCAGTAAAACCGGAGAATACCATGTGGAAATTGATTTCAAATGCTAGCTAGGGGTTTGTAATTATAAGAGATCTTATACATATTGTACATGTATGTAGCCAGTAGCGTCGGATACATGATACGAAAACTTGTTGTTCGACCAACCTCTCGGAGAAGGAGAGGTCGATCGATCACTTCTCTCGGTATGCATGACGAACTTCTGTACTGAATGGTTCCCTCGATCACTTATGTATATATAGTACGTAGCGTCCAAGCACGGACATAAGAGAGGACACTTCTCTCTATTAATTAGCTAGCTAACACAATATATAAAACACCTAATTAAATTAACCCCCCAAAACTCCCAACCTCCCCTGCTTTCAAAAAAAAAACACAAAAACCCCAGCAACTGGAATGCTGACGCGTGGATGCATTTTGGTCCCGGTTGGTGCCACCAACCGGGACCAAAGGCCCCCTGACTGGGGTGGGCGCACAGGGCCACGTGGAGGCGCATTGGTCCCGGTTCTAGATTGAACCGGGACTAATGGGTGGAGGTATTAGTAACGACCCATTAGTCCCGGTTCATGAACCGGGACTAAAGGCCCTCACGAACCGGGACTAATGGGTGGTTTTCTACTAGTGGCAATCGCCACCGGTGATTTTCACCCATGGCTAACCTAGGCCCGGACTATTGGTGGTAGGTGCGTGGAAGAGCCCACCACTGATAAAGTTATTCTAGTGGCGGTCCAACATTTCCACACGCCACTATTATCAGGCCAGATTAGCAGTGGTGGGTTTCTGAGCCTACCTGCCACTGATTTGACCCCACCTATTAGCAGTTTCCTAGTAGTGGTGCCGCTAGGCGAGTGCTATAACCATGCCACATGGCATTGAGCTCCCAGCCACCACCTCACATGTCTTGCAAATATGCAATGGAGCGATGAACACTAACCGCTGCCACTTCCATTTTATGTTTCGTTTTTATGTGTGCTAGTTGGATGTCTGATCAATTTGACCAACGCGTGTCCTCACCAAATGCATTATATATCTTGCCTTTGGGCTAATAAACGTTGTCTACAATGTTAGACGAGAAGTTTGACAATGCAACTCACGACGTATTGATCGGGTGCACGTACATAAAGAGTACAATGTGGGCCTCAACCTCAACTATACAAAGACTTGAAGGTGGGCCAGGATATACACATATACATGCAACACATATATTCAACATACAAATTATTTATCAGATATGACTAAGTATTTGATAAAAATAAAGTTATGACTAAGCACACCATGTTACTGAAATTTTTGCCTGTCATGTGACATGTCAAGGATGAGATCGCATCAACAAGGTGATAGTTCGGTTGCAAGAAACTAGAAGGACCTTGAAGCGATTAACCATAAATAAGCATGTCCTCGATGGGATCTTATCAGGTCTTCTCTTCTTTTATTCTGAAGATTCTAGCCTTACATGCCACGGAGCTGGCGAGCTTTATGAAGAAAAAAAGGTACAGGAACCATAAATTACTTGTGGCATGGGGTAGGCAGATCTTTACCATCTTAAATATAAGTGTAAAATAAAACTAATAAAGCAACGCTGGCTTAGGGAGAACCCTAACCGTCTTATTGCTACAGTCGAAAATTGTAGCTGCACCAAGTAAAACATGCTTGCTAAGCAGAATTGTCGAGCGTGTAGATACCAATTGAATTGATGGCGTAACCCGTATATCCCCCAAAGAAGCTCACAATTCTGTTGTTCTGAGGCACAGAAAAGCTGAAAGGGGTGCCTATCGCAGGAGTTCCGAAAGGTCCATGAGTGTTGCCGAGGTTGGTGACCAGCTTAAGGGAATACATAGCAATATTGTTTGATCTGGATTCATGGCCGTATGTTCCTGACAGCCCTGTCAGAAACTCCGTTGGGCCGAGCTGAAATGTTTGCTGCCAAATGGACAAAACCAAACCATAAGTGATGCTATAATTTTGGAATCTCAATGAACAAGGACAAGAAGAGGACCAAACATATTATTGATCAAATGGATGAGGAAACGAATAGTGAACCAAACTCACACTGTCAACTTTGTTGCCACGAAGAACGCTATTACCAAAAAGTTCGCTGGTGTGTTCCTGGCCATCTTGGCCGGTATAAGTGAAAGTAAGTCCATTAACAGCATAATGACGGAAGACTGTCATACTCTTTAGGCGTACAGACATGTTTGGGTTGAACTGGTAAAGTTTTTCACCAGTTCCGCCCCATGGTCCATATTTTATGGGAGTGGGGGCAGGACGCGGCTGAACAGGAGGCTGAATCGGCTGGCAAGGGGCAGGAGGCTGCGGAGTGGGTGAAGGCTGCCCCTGTATATGAATGCAAGTAGTGAAACATTGTCAGCAATATTTCTCTCCTTCGAGAAATGTACATCCAACTTGCTCGTAAGTGTAGAAATAAAAGAAGAAACAAAAAAAATTGTTCGATTTGGAATACCGGTAGAGAGGCTTGTGTGATCCGATAGGATTTGCAAAATGTATACGTATGTGAAATCTAAAGTTTTGACTGTGGAAAACCTATACAAAATTGAATATAACGCTCACCTTCCTGTGGCAGAATGCATCGATAGTAAGCTCTAATACATCTCCATCAGCTACTTTTTGATGTATTTTTCTATGGATGACACCACGCGCCATAGCGAAGTCACCTGTCCCACCAACAATAGCCCATTCACCTTGTTCCTCAGTGGTTGCCCCCATCACAGAAAGCGTGGATCCTTTGAACCTATGTGATTCACAAATATATCATATGCTTCTACAAAGAGAATGTGATAGTAGGAGAAAGAACATGTTAGCACATTACAGGACAAAACACACACAAGTTACCTGTCAAGCTCGAACACTATGATGAATAAATTGCACCAGTCAGCAGCGTTCATACGCATGCCTTTTGCATGAGCGACTAGCTTTGCATCCGAGGCCGCACCATCATATATCGCCCAGTTGTTGATGGTTGTGAGACCAAGGTCAGTACTACCAAATCCATCTATCACTACATACTGGTTTTTCTTATCCCCAGAAATGAACCTGTGCAAATACAAGCTTTGGAAGTCAAGCTTAGTGTTTTCCACCAGTGCGCCCGAATGACTAGTGACCTTGAAATTGGCCATGGGGGTGTGAGAGAACAGCTGGGGATACCTATCGAGTGTAGAGCTTTTCTTTTGGCTTGTGTGACTTGAAGAGGCCTATTTATAGCATCCATAGAGCGCTGCCAAGCCTTGCTTCAAATTAGTCTCACACAAGTCTTCACGTTTAGTCCCAGCTTGCTGATTGGCTATCTCTCCGACCACTCATCTGTTTTTAATACATAATGACGACTTTTCTATCATCAAAATGATCTCGAGATCTGCAACAACACACGAGTACTGTTGGCGGGAGTAACTTATACTAGTGTCATGCATATGACACTAGTGTAAGTTACTACCTTCATAGTACAAAGCAACATAGTATTAGTGTCATAGATGGGTTCATTTATTGGCTTGTAGGCTTGTCCTTTCTCGGGAAACGCTATGTTACAGTAACATATTATGTGCTCTAAACATCTCTCTCCTCATTAACTACATGCCATATAAGCAAAAAAAAATTGGAGTGCGCTATGTTACTATACCTAAGTTAGGGGGTGTTTGTTTCCAGGGACTTTTTTGTGTAGGGACTAGAAAAAGTCCATCTTAGAGACTTTTTTACCAAACGGGAGGGACTTTTTAGGGACTAAACTAGGCATTTGGGACTAAATGAAGAAGAGAGTCTTTTTTGGAACTTTTTGGGACTTTTCCAACAATGCCCCTCCATGCATTCATTGGCCCGCCCCCTATGGTGTTGTTTGATTATTATTTTTCTATATACTAGGGGCAACATGGTCATATAATAACCTCTAGGAAGGGACTAGGGACTTTTTAGTCTCTGAAAACAAACAGGGAGGGACTTTTTAGGGACTAGGGACTTTTTAGTTGGGACTAGAAAAAGTCTTAGGACTTATGAACCAAACAGGACCTTAGTCCCACTATGACTAGCATGCTGGATATAGCTAATACATCATGCCAAACTGCCAAAGAGAACATGGGTACAGCTATTGCACGTACGTGACATGAATGCAAGAGCACATGAGTGCTGCTTGTCCTTGAACACTTCTGTTAAAAGTATTCACCATCAAGTCTACGCCTTGCTGAGGACCATATAGTGCGATGGCTTGATTCTATGGTGGGTAATTGGTCTTAAGAAGGTCATCTTTGGTTAGCACCTTCTTGATGTACCAAGGCTACCCCCAGAGCCGTTCATTCTTGAACTCCATGGGAGTCGAGCAGCATGACCGAGAGGAAAAGAAACGATTGTTCCTTCTTAGGGCGGTGAGTTAAGTTGAGAAAATGATCCAATTTTAAATCACGCTATCTCCACACTAAGTCTTCGCAAGCCTATCAATCGCCTAACCATGGAATATTATTCAGTTTTGAACAAAAGGTAGATAGATCTCATTAGTCCCCCACGTTGTTCACCCTGGTGAATTTTTTTGTTTTAAAAAGGAGGATTACCCCTGGCCTCTGCATTTGAATGATGCATACTGCCATTTTATTAATTATTCACAAAAATTTATAAAATAGTACATCAGGTAGTCTGAAGCCACCATCTTAGAGCATCTCCAGCCGTGCCCCCAACACGGCGCCCCCAGGCGATTTTTTCGTGCCGGCGCCGAAAAAAGGGGCTAGTCGCGCCCCCAAGAGCCCGTTTTTCGCCGGTTTGGTCCGAAGTTAGTGCGGGCGGACCCAGGCCAAACCCGGCGCGCTGAGGGGCACCTGGGGGCGCCAGGGCGAGTGGTTTTGGCGCGAAAGGGCCGCGGGCCCGCCGAGTCAGCGAGACGCCGCTTCGTCGCCCTCATCGCCTCGGTTCCCACGGGAATCAATGCCAAGGCTGCCGCGTCAGTCAGCCTCCATTGATGCCTCACGGGCGGCGCAGTGAAGACGCCGCCGACGCACGTCCAGCCCGCTCCCGCCACGCGTCGTCCCGCATGCCGCCTCCCCGCCGCCCCACTTCGGCTATAAAAGGCACCCAGTCCCCGCCGGTGAGCGCCACAACCTCCCCCTCTCCCTCTCGCAAAAGCCATCTCCCCGCCGACGAGCAAAGCAAACATGGCCGAGAGGTTCCCAGGTGATGGCGCAGCGGCGAACGGCTTCGGCCGCCGACACCTCCAAGAGCCGGAGGCGCGCCTCGTCTACGAGGCTGAGTACCCGGCGCCTCCTGACATGCGCGTGCCGGGGGCGTGGAGATTGAGCGACGGCGGCGTCCCTATGCCACCGGTGCCCGAAGGGGCGGCCCGGCGGGCAGAGATCGCCTGCATCAGCTCCTCCCCGACGGAGGAGCAGCGGAACCAGCCAAGGTACACGCCCGACAACGAAACGCTGTGCACGATGTACTTCCAGCGCCGCCGCGAGGAGAAGATCGCCTCCGTCAACTGCGTCATTCCCCGCGGCCGCCTCAACGCCGAAGGACGGCGCGAGTGGTGGGGCGTCCCCGGCCGCACCCTCGAGAACGTCCTTGACCACATCGAGACTGGCAACCTGCCGCGACTGGAGTACCCGACGCAGCCGTCCTTCTCTCACCGCCGCAGCAGTTCCTGGATGCCGCGGCGAATGGAGCCGGGGTCGTCCTCGTCGTCGGGCTCCGGCTTGCCGGCCCTTCACCCCGTCAAGCCTGAGCCGGAGGGGACACCGCTCGGGCGTCGCACTCGCAGCGGCGCCCTTGTAATCAACAAGGGCGCCGCACCACCTGCCCCGGCACCAGCGAGGCGCTCCCTACGCCTGGTCCGGCCGAAGCCCGAGCCGGGGTTGATCCTCGTGAAGCCGGAGCACGTCGACATGGTGGCCCCCGACAACGAGTTCACCCTCAAATGGGCGAAAGAGGACTACATCCGCGAGCAGGTGCGCCGCCAGCGCCGGGCGTACCTAGAGCACCAGGCCCGTCGCTGCGCTGAGGCCCGTCACCTTGCCGAGGAGGGTGGCGTTATCGTCATCGACAACGACGAGGAGGGTGAGGCCGTGCCGTCAAGCGCCACGCCACGTGTCGCCGACCCGGGCCTGCAGCAGGGACGTCGCAGGCGAGGTGCGCGACGACGACGACTACGACGACGACGGCGGCGGTGACTATACCCGCTTCTACAGGCTTCTCGGCATGTAGACTACGGCGGCGGCGATGGCGGCGGCTAGGATTTTTAGTTTGTTTTTTAAGTTAGGCGTAGTCCTTGGATGTTCCTAAGTTTTGTACAAATTTCAATGAAGTATGGCCGAGTTCTTGCAAAAATCGCCGAGTTTGCAAAATTTTGAAACAAACTTCGCCGAACCCGCGGCGACCGTGGGCCGATGACTGGGAGCGAACCGAACCCAGGGGCCAATCTAGCGCCGGTTCGCCCCTAGGCAGCTCATTTTTGGCGCCCTGGGGGCCCGAACGGCTGGAGATGCTCTTAGCAACAACTGTCACTGCTCCTATCCACTTGATGAAGGGTGCCGGTAGTCCGAGCCTAATACCAAGCAGACATCGCACCAAAGTCTAACATATAAAGCCGGAGGCCCCAACCGAGCCACATACTGGGTTTGGGGTACAAACTGGTCCGACGCACTCTCATGTGTCGTCGTCGCCGTCTTCCACCAATCTATCTTCAGAGCAGAAACTAATGCACCGACCTTGTCAGGCCTCCCTGCCATCGACGCCACCATGATGCCAGACATCGTCATCCTCCAGTGTGGATCCATCTCCGTGCATCAGACACCGAGTCTCCATTGCGCCACACTGACAAGATCCGCCACCACCAATGAGTAAGATGAAGCACCGCTCCACCAAAGAAGCCCTCCACTGGTCCCTCAAGCCCGTGTATAGCTCCAAGAATGACACCATCAAGGGGGAAATGACACCAGAGCACCGTCGTCATCCGATCTACTGATCTAGGGTTTCCCTCGGAGGTAGCGGATAGAAGTCTAGAGCTTTTCCACGGCGATGCCTTCAAGAAGGCAACAACACAAAAGAGTGCTGCCATCGCCGGTCTTGGCAACAAACCAAGAACAAGGTTATCACCAGGATCCACTCGACGAACCTCCATCTTGCATCGTGCGCATGGACCACCACCGATCTCCGCCGCCGTGGAGCAAGAAATCCACTCTAGCCAGATCAGATATGACCAGAGGTCCAACCATGCCTGCAGCTGACCAGACCACCAAAGCCCTCCATGCCGCCGCCGATCCGAGGTGCCGCAGCACCGCAACCAGGTGCAGCAGCTCCAGCACTCATCCGCCATCTCTCGGCGCTGGGAGCGAGCCACTGCCGCGAAGGCATAGATCCGCGGGCGCACTTCCGCTCGCCCAGGTGCCCCGTGATACGTCTCCAGCGTATCTATAATTTTTTATTGTTCCATGCTATTATATTACCCATTTTGGATGTTTATGCGCTTTACTTTACACTTTTATATCATTTTTGGGACTAACCTACTAACCGGAGGCCCAGCCCGAATTGCTATTTTTTTGCCTATTTCAGTGTTTACAAGAAAAGGAATATCAAATGGAGTCCAAATGGAATGAAACCTTCGGGAGCGATCTTTTTGGAACAAACGTGATCCAGGGGACTTGGAGTGGACGTCAAGCAACAGAGGAGGCGGTCACGAGGGTGCCCGGTGCGCCCCCTACAGGTGGGCGCCCCCCACCCTCATGGACCCATCGAGCGTCCACCGACCTACTTCTTCCTCTTATATATACCCACGTACCCTGAAAACATCGAAGAGCGCCACGAAAACTATTTCCACCGCCGTAACCTTCTGTATCCGCGAGATCCCATCTTGGAGACTTCGCCGGTGTTCCACCGGAGGGGGAATCGACCACGGAGGGCCTCTACATCATCTCCAAGGCCATTCCGATGAGTTGTGAGCAGTTTACCATAGACCTTCGGGTCCATAGTTATTAGCTAGATGGCTTTTTCTCTCGTTTTGAATCTCAATACAAATTTCTCCTTGATCTTCTTGGAGATCTATTTGATGTAACTCTTTTTGTGGTGTGTTTGTCAAGATTCAATGAGTTGTGGGTTTATGTTCAAGTTTATCTATGAGAAATATTTGAATCTCCTCTGAATTCTTTTATGT